CGAGCCCCGTCCCCTCTACCTATGAAGCAGACGAGAGCTGTGAGTAGTCGCCGATATCCGCTGTGTCCCGGGGGAAGGGGGCGATCCCTGTGTGCGGTGCCCGGCTGCCGGTGTATCCATTGTGTGACACCATAATGTGTCCGGGTACTCAACAATGGACGGAACCCTGTGTACACACACCGGCCGCCCCCCCGAACCTCTCCTACACCCCCGGGCAGCCTCAACCTTCTACATACCGGGGCCGGCGGGGTTATACCGACCGTCCGGGCTCTCTTCCCTCCGGTATACTGGGTCCCCCCCTCATTATGCCCCCCGGTTCCATCACACCCCGTCGCCTGTGACTCTCCCTCTCTTGGTATTCCCTGTACCCCCCAATCACCTTCCCTTTGTAGTAGAGGGGACGCGGCTGTGTGTAGGGGAGACCTGCGCTCTTAGCGTACGGAGCCCTTACGTGGACGTAAATCCCGGCGTAGTGCCGATTGTGAATCGGGAGCTCCGTACGTAGCGGATTTGATTGACATGCGGCCGGCCCAGCTGGCAGCGTCGGAATGGAGCCGGGCGGAGGGGGCGGGAATTTACTGGAAACAGCCAATAGGAACTTCGCAGCCCCCTCTCCAGTCCTCTGATTGAGCTAGTATGACACACACACACACCGCAGCCTCATTTGCATTTACTAGAGGAAGGCGAGACCAGGGGTGGAATAGGCAGCGTGCTCCGCTATGGCGGCTATTGTATGAGTCCTCCTTATCGGGGGGATGACACCAGCCGCCTGGAACAAAACTGTCATGAGGTGACTCACATGGGCCATATGCGGCGCCAGAGGGCATGGGCTTTCCCGTCCGCTATTGTATGCTGTCACAGCTGGGGACTTTGTACACCCCCCCCTTTTCCTCCCACCACGTGTGTGGGCTGCTGGCTCTCCATTGGTGATCTCCCGTCCGCCCCGGGCCAATAGAGCCCCTCCGGCAGATGTGTATGGAATTCCCTGCAGACTGGCCGGAAGGAGCGCGTCACCGCTTACCTCACAGCGCGTCAGCTGATCAATGAGAGCCAGGAGCTGTTGGCTGCTTTGTCTCCTCATCCGGGGATTTCATCACAACTGAGGATAGCAGGGTGTGAATGATGATATATATAGCGATGCTAAAAAAATATATAATAAAAGTATATGAAATATTAGAAAATTATATTAATATAAAAAATGTATGTACACCATATGTGGAACGACACGCCTGTATTTTACATAGGCAGCAAGGCGGCATGTGCATTCAGTGGGAGGTTAGTTGCCCCGTAGTTGGTGTCTGTGGGCAGGAATAGTTGGCCCCGTGGTTGGTGGGGAGGAATAGTTGGGCCCGTGGTTGGTGGGGAGGAATAGTTTTGGGCCCGTGGTTGGTGGGGAGGAATAGTTGGGCCCCGTGGCTGGTGGCGAGGAATAGTTGGGCCCCGTGGCTGGTGGGGAGGAATAGTTGGGCCCCGTGGCTGGTGGCGAGGAATAGTTGGGCCCCGTGGCTGGTGGCGAGGAATAGTTGGGCCCCGTGGCTGGTGGCGAGAGAATAGTTGGGCCCCGTGGCTGGTGGCGAGGAATAGTTGGGCCCCGTGGCTGGTGGCGAGGAATAGTTGGGCCCCGTGGCTGGTGGCGAGGAATAGTTGGGCCCCGTGGCTGGTGGCGAGGAATAGTTGGGGCCCCGTGGCTGGTGGCGAGGAATAGTTGGGCCCCGTGGCTGGTGGCGGCGGCGAGGAATAGTTGGGCCCCGTGGTTGGTGGCGGCGGCGAGGAATAGTTGGGCTCCGTGGTTGGTGGCGGCGGCGGGGAGGATTAGTTGGCCCCGTGGTTGGTGGCGGGGAGGATTAGTTGGCCCCGTGGTTGGTTGGTGGCAGTGGCGGGGAGGATTAGTTGGCCCCGTGGAGAGGGGTGTTAAAAAAAAATAATTTATATGTGTTGTAACCCAATAATCTTCACACCAAACTGGGGACCACAGCAGACTAGACCCCAAGAAATGAATCCACTAAAGGTGCTCCAAAGAGGGGTAGAAATAGTTTTGCTGGTCAGTGAAATGCGGCCTGGCACTCCTACACCATGCATGGGCATTAGGAGTGTATTTGATCCATACATAAACTCCAGCACTGGATGTTGCCATAAACAATTGGGTGGCAGTTGTGACTTCCATTTCATAGGGGGGTTTCCATCCACTGTATCTCTTTATATGGCCCATATACACTGAGAATGCCCATAGAGGGTGTATGACTGTGTAGGCCTTGCCAGGCACGTTGCCTGTCGTAAAAGGGTTGGAGCTCACGTTTCAGGTCACTCACCCTCCCTCCTGGTTAGAAAAACAGTTAAATTCAGTTTTTTTTTTTTGGGGGGGGGTTTCCTGTTTTTCTTTATTTTGCTAGAAAGCAAGAGACATAACTTGCCTGTAATGAAGGGTTTCCCATGATATGCTGACTGCTGCATAGTACAGAAATCATCTCTCCAATTCTGGGTCCTCTCCACAGAGTTGATCTTCTGGCACTGCGTAGTAACATTAGCTGCTGCGTGTGAAAGAATTGTGCTGCTCGCTCCTCCTCTTTTCATAGTATTTTGTCGCAATGAAAATCTTTGTCTTTGCAGAAGACAGGTGCTGTCATTCATCTGCCTGTCCTCCATTCAGAGAAACTTTGCATTCTGACAATGAATACTATAGTTTTATGAATGAAAGTGGGTTGAAAAGGAACAGTGAGTGTTGCAGATCTTTCTTGCTCACAGTGGCTGATTTTAAAGCAGAGCTCCAGTCTCTGGTGAAAAAAGGCAGTCACTCACCTGTCCTAGGATCCAGCGGTGTCCTCACCGCGCAGCCTAGTTCACCGGCCGTCCTGTGTACCTGGCACTGGCATCTTAAGTGTGGGTACAGGGCTGTGACAGCTAGCAGCTAAACAGCTGGGTGCCCACTACACATGCATTGTGAATGGTCCCGCAGACCTCTGGGAGCGATCACATGTTCCAGAGGATTGCGGGGAGGAGAACTTCCAATCACCTAGATGATTGCGGCAGAAGTGGGAGCGGGTACCTGTCAAAATCGGGTACCTGTACCCAAAATTTTCCAATCCTTAATGTGATGTGGGGGACGAAGCCTTAAAGCGGCACTTCACCTTTTGGGTGGAGCTCTGCTTTACCCTCACAGTCCTGCAAGATCAACACAGTGTAGAGATGACTTCTATAGTATGCAGCAGCTGGCCCAATATGGGGCACACTTCATTACAGGTAAGTTATATTCCTGGTGCTGCATAGCATAAAAGAAAAAAACAAACTTCAGATTTATTCAGTCTTCACAATAAAGTAGAACCCCAGATGAAGCTTTTTTTTTTCCTGGGTGAGAGAGTAGAGGGCTCAAACCTCTGCTAGGTGGATTTGCTCCTCTGTTGGTGAACTGGTGACACTCCTGCATAGGCAGTAGTGGTAAGATGTTCCAATCCTACTTATAAAGAGACTCAGACATTACAAAATAGCCTGGATATTAATAATGACCTGACAGTAACTGCATCTCATGTCAGCCACAATTAAGAAAAATTGACTTTAGTTTTGCTTTAAATCCAGTAATTTCCTGCCCCCCCCCCCCTTCCTGTGATGCACAGAAAAACATTTATTTATTCCTTGTTTTTCTGCTTCTTCCTCCAGGGAATTACAAGCACCTCCTCCCCCTTTTTTTTTCCTAGCTTTTTGGTATATAACAGAATTCTTCAATTCATAAAATATTCACGGCTGGCAAAGACCAGGTGATCAGTCCTCCCAAGTTTACTTGTCAATTAAGAATTTTTCTGGAAAGATCTTGATCATTCATGGTTTACCTTTCACTAACAATGTTACAGATTTGATTGCTGCTGGCAAGTTTTTGTATTGGTTGGTGTACTGGACAGTTACATCCCAGTGTTTGGTTGTCAGACTGGTAGTAGAGTTTTAGACTGGTAGTAGAGTTTTATACGTAGTGCTTTATTCTTTCCTGTTTTATACGTAGTGCTTTATTCTTTCCTGTTTTATACGTAGTGCTTTATTCTTTCCTGTTTTATACGTAGTGCTTTATTCTTTCCTGTTTTATATACGTATACGTAGTGCTTTATTCTTTCCTGTTTTATACGTAGTGCTTTATTCTTTCCTGTTTTATACGTAGTGCTTTCTTTCCTGTTTTATTATCCTGTTTTTTATACGTAGTGCTTTATTCTTTCCTGTTTTATACGTAGTGCTTTATTCTCTTTTTATATACGTAGTGTAAGTGCTTTATTCTATTAGTGTAAGATTTATTTATGGAAAATGTGCCTTGCTTATGTTTTCATTGGTTTTCTAAAATAATTGGCAATCTTTTTATTCATTTTTTTTCTTTTCTTTTCAGAGTTCTGAAAATAAGATGGATAGCAGCTTTGATTGTGATTGTGGTGAGCTGGAGCCACCTGATCATTAACAGAAGAACACTTCTGTAATTTAAGGTCTGCCACGGTTTCCTCTTCGGATGCACTGTATACAAAAAACATCAAATACAAATAATTTCTAGTGCTTACCAGCACCATAGAATGACGCTGCTCAGGACCAGTTCAACACTGAATGTATCTGCACTGTGAGGAGGAGGATGATAGAAGCCTATATCTTGCATATTTATTCACGTTTTTGTTTCATGTCAATTTGTTTTGCACACTAGAGCCGCGTGCATAGTATGTCATTTCATTCCGTTTCACTTCCATTGAGTGTTTTTGTTGATGTTTGCTGGAATGCTGCATCTCTTGTGAACTATGACTACAGTCCTTTTTATACAATCAAAACTGAGCTTTAGCGTTGTGGCTTGCGGGATCCACCAGGCCTGGCAGGCTGTTATGCAATGAGTATTGGAGCTGACCAGTCTAAAGAAGAGCTTTTTTTTATTTTCATTTTTTTTTTGTAAGGTTTTTGAAATCTTTTCTTTAGATACCAGCAGTGGTTTATTGTCACGTGTTTAGGAAAATTGAAAATTTCTGCACAAAGGAAGTAAAGTAGCCAAAATGGCAGAAAAGTTTGAAAGCCTCATGAACATTCATGGGTTTGATTTGGGCTCTCGATACATGGACTTAAAACCCCTCGGCTATGGTGGCAATGGCTTAGTTTTTTCTGCTGTTGATAATGACTGTGATAAGCGAGTGGCTGTGAAGAAAATTGTCCTGACTGACCCTCAGAGTGTCAAACATGCTCTGCGGGAGATCAAAATTATCCGAAGACTTGATCATGAAAATATTGTTAAAGTATTTGAAATTCTCGGCCCTAATGGAAGTTGCCTAACTGATGATGTGAGCTCGTTAACCGAGCTGAACTGTGTGTATATTGTTCAGGAGTATATGGAGACCGATCTAGCCAAGCTTCTAGAGCAAGGCCCACTTCGTGAAGAGCATGCTAGGCTCTTTATGTACCAGCTGCTACGTGGGCTTAAATATATCCACTCGGCTAATGTGCTGCATCGAGATCTTAAGCCAGCAAACCTGTTCATAAACACTGAAGATTTGGTGGTAAGAATTGGAGATTTTGGTCTTGCTCGAATCATGGATCCCCATTATTCCCACAAGGTGAGGATTCTTTATATTGGTAATGTAAATAAAAATGGTAGTGATGTTCACAGTGTTTTCTGCGAATTTCTAAACGTGACAGCTGTGGCACTATTGTAGGCTGGTCAGATGTTGGGTGTTATGTTAGGGCATGTACACTTACCTCCTTGCTCTAGTCGAATCACTCTTTGAAAACAGTGGTGACAATGGAATGACTAAGATTCCAACATTGACAGAAAAATCTTTTGTTCTACTTTCTTCTAAAAATGCTAGTTCCTTGTCATGACCTAGAAGAGGTATGTAGTGTATCTGCATATTGGTGGGTCAGTGACCCAGGAAGTACTAAATGGTGGTATCGCAGTATTAAGCCAAACTAGCAAACATATGGTTGGATGCCAACTTTAAACGTAATTCAATGTTTAATTCTCATAGATAGCATGTCTGTTTTTTTGTTTCCTAGTTCTAACCAACTGTCTCCTTGGGGCTTATACATACCAGCACCAGATGCATGGTGCACATGCTTTGCTATGTAGGCCTCATTCTGACCAATTGGAACCCTACTGGAGAACTGTGCATGTGTGTTGAGCGTCCTTTTAGGTTTGGCACCTGAGGAGTTCTCTTCTGGCTTGGCAAATGTAGGCCTATGGGTACAGGACCCTTAGAGCAATATTTATTTTTTCCTCTTATTTATTGGGGCCAAATTTAATCTCCTTGGCTTAAGAGCTAAAATTCCTGACCAAATTTGTAGCCCCATAACAATTCAGCAGATTCATATGCACTGTAAGATGAAGGTTTTGATTATGGATTGCTCTGACAAAATACAGATTTTTATTTATTTTTTTTTATTTCACATTTATAAATGAGGTCCACCACGAGACAATGAAGTTGATTTACTAAAACTGGAGAGTGCAAAAGTCTGGTGCAGCTGTACATAGAAACCGATCAGCTTCCAGCTTTTATTGTCAAAATTCAATTGAGCAAGTTGACGTTAGAAGTTTATTGGCTACCATGCACAGCTGCACTACATTTTGCACTCTCCAGTTTTAATAAATCAAGCCCAATGTGATGTAGCTCAAACTTTGCCATGTGAACCATGTTCATAGGAATTTGCACTTGTTCCCTGTTGTTGCAAACTTGTCACCATATGGGTAGCGGACTGCTTTTATTGTAAGCCACATGTGGCTTTCTACAGTCTAAAGGCCTCGGGTAACCGCGTGGAAACTTCAGATCCCATCAGCATTTTCAATTGTCTGTTGGAATGCTACTAATCATTATCCTAAGACTGCTAGATTTATTTATTGATAATATATAGATGAGGTGTGTGTGATATAGATAGAGATATATGAAAAATCGAGCATTGATGTGTAAACCAGCCTTTCTCAACCAGGGTGCCTTGAGGTTTCTTCAGGGGTGCCTTTGCAAAATGTCTAAAAATTGCCCAAAACTTGTATACAAGCCAGCGGGTGGAACAAACCTGCATTTTTAGTTACACAAAGCCACAGGTTATCATTGTGAACCATTACGACCTTCTAACTGCCAGCGTCCTGACAACCAATGACAATATCAGTTGATAAGGAGGATGTCAGCTGCCAGTACAGCATCCTAGTTTGACCCTCTCCTTCCCCTCTCCATCAGTGCTGGGGTCACTTTAGCTCAGTGATGGAGAAAAACTGAGGGAGAAGAGAAACAATGGAATACTAGTCAGTACCAGTGTGCAAAAGTGTATTTGCTTTGGAAGAATAAATCGCCTCTAATGTTGGATGTTCTACATGTGTGGATGTTGGTGCGTTATATAAAACTGTTAGAATAGTTTTTCACATTTTAGAATGGGGGTGCCTCAAGACTGTCTGAAATTTTAAAGAGTGCCTCAGGACTGTCCATAATGTTAAAGGGTGATTTGACTGAAAAAAGGTTGAGAAACACTGGTGTAAACTACAGTGAACAAATGAATTTATATTTATGGGCCCCAGAGAGACACAAAGTAAAAGATAAAGCAATAGGTGTAAGTAGTATGTAGGTTGTAACCTCTCCTGAGATAGTGTTTTGTTAGGATAAAATGAATGGACAGGCCTCCACAGCTATGTGTGAATACATTCCAAACAAATGGGACTTCAGAGATTTATTAGGAGCTGTGTGTACATCCTGTTATGGGCTCTAATTGCAGTTGTCTCAATGGGGATTTGTGCTGCAGTGCAACTTGTTGTTTAAAGACAAAGCTAATGTTTTGTTTTTCAGAATTAATAAATCTCATATCCATTTTATTTCTAGTTAAATGCCAAAAAACCCAGATTTGATTGGTTTGTTAGCGATGCAATCACTTTTATGATCTTAATTGTTATGCTTAAGTTTTAAAATGTTCTCTAGCTATATGTTGCTGTACAAAGGAACTCGTTAAATAATGTATTAATCCTATGTTCGGCTTTACATTTCTACTGAGTGTGAAAAATGCACCAGCTAGTTAGAAGTGTTTGACTCCTGAAATCTGATTGGAAGATTACAACACACAATTACTTTGTAATTAATAGACTCCCCCTTCCCCCGCTGTAAATTTTGAATAAAGTCAAAGGGTGCGCCAAATCCATCCTTTGACTAAAGCAGTCATAAGGCAGATTTATGCTGGCCAGATATGGCTCAAAGTTTGGGCAATTCACAAGGAATTGCCTGTTGGCACTGCACAGCTCCACAAGCTTCTATCTGAAAATTGACAGTCTGGTGGATAATCCTTAGCTGAGCAGTGACTGTAGCTCATGAGATGCAGTCACTGTTTGGATGTCCTGACAACCCTTGTAGCAGCTGCTGTCAGAATATAATAGCCAGCAGGGGTGCTTCCTCCATCCATGCTGTTTAGCAAGGATGGGGAAAAGTAGCGCTTTCTTTTCTCCCATATGGTTGAAAGAGAACAATCTTCTGTATAGCTAGTTTTACAGGAGCATTTTTAGATGCTGGAAATTTGTTCATCTTATTCTCCATAAGTTAATAAAAGCATGAGCTAAATGTCCTTTTTCATAATGACTCCTCCCCATCACAAAAGAATTAAAGTAATACTACCCACAGCCCAGGTAGGCCTCACCATCCCTGCTCCCTCTTCACAAGATTTGATTGACTGCAACAGGAGCCAATGGCTCCTTCCTTTGTCTCCTGTGAGCAGGGAGAGAGTAAAAGCTGCTGCAGATGGACACCGCACTGGATCGATACAGGACTTGGGTAAGTATTTAGGGAGGGAGGTGAGGGCAGCAGCTAGTGGGAAGGTTTTCACCCTAATACAGGAATTGCATTAAGGCAGAAAAATATTAGATTTTTTTTTTTTTTTTTGAATGGATCACTGCTCCTATGATGTATTCATTGGCAAAGACTTGTTAACATTATAATATAGTGTCTGGCTCATAACGCAGAATGAAAAGAAAATTGCAGTCAAGGAAATCACAACATCTTGCATTGGCCATAAATTTGTATTGCATATGGGTGCTTAAAACACGTGTGGGTAATCGTGACCTGTTTTTACACCTACACAGGGACATCTTTCTGAAGGACTTGTCACCAAATGGTATCGATCTCCACGCCTTTTACTTTCACCAAATAACTACACTAAAGCTATTGATATGTGGGCAGCTGGGTGCATCTTTGCTGAAATGCTGACTGGAAAAACCCTTTTTGCAGGTTAGCACTACTGGTTTTATCTGTCCTCCCAACAGATTTTTGTTTCTGTATATTGAATTTTTAGACCAAATTTAATATCGTTACAAAAAAAAAAATTTTTAAACCTGCATATTAGGCAGATACTGATACACCCATGCCATTTTTTAATTTAATTGTTTTTCCTCTTAAAAGGTGCACATGAACTTGAGCAGATGCAGCTAATTCTGGAGTCTATACCTGTTGTTCATGAAGAAGATAGACAGGAGCTTCTCAGTGTAATCCCAATCTTTATCAAAAATGATATGACCGAGCCACATACTCCTTTAACACAGCTACTTCCTGGGATCAGTCCTGAAGGTAAGCTTATAATAAGTTTTAATAAAAGTGTAATTACTCAGATTTATAACGTACCTCAAAAACAATTACCTCTACATATCCTTTAACAGCTCTAGACTTCCTGGAGCAAATTCTGACATTTAGTCCTATGGACAGACTAACGGCAGAAGAAGCTTTGTCCCACCCATATATGAGCATCTATTCTTTCCCTTTGGATGAGCCAATTTCACACCATCCTTTTCACATTGAAGATGAGGTAGATGATATATTATTGATGGATGACAACCACAGCCATGTCTATAATTGGGAAAGGTAATATTACTAAAATACTATATTAAACTGATGTGAGAACACTTTTAAAGTTGTTAATTAGTTGCTCTGTTGCTGGTCCAAAGAAGTTAGACTACAAGCACCCACAAAATAAGATTACTAATACTTACCTCTGTGGTGGGTGGGTAGAACCACAGGGAGCCATGGGAAATTCAGGGAACCAAAAATGTCAGAAACCACTTAGGGAGGAGCGTAGCTCTGGGAAGCTGTAACTTTAGTCTTCGCTGTTGCTTACAGGTAGGTTGTTCCTTTTTTTGTTTAGTAATCTTCTTTTGCAGGGTGCATGTAGATAAGCTACTTTGAGCTGGCGTCCAAAACCCCTCTATATGGTACAATATAATATAAACTGTACAAATTGATTGTGATGGTATTTGGTATTTCATTATTTAACTATATTTCACATTTAGGAACATCTAGTATTTTTTGCAGAACACCAGTATTGTTTAACTCCATTGCAAAAAAAAAAAAAAAAATCATCCTTCTACATAGATTGTCTATTAGATTGTTGCATGTTATATTGTGGCCTTTATCATGTCACTCTTTGCCATTCTATATATTTAATATAGGGGGGTAGCAGCCCATGTTTAGGAATTCATTCCTTTTCACATCCTCAAAATAAGTCTTACAAGGCACTAAATCTGGTTTAAAAGGGTTTGGTGTCTAATTTTCACTTTGCTATTACTTTGCTACTAGTTTCATTGAAGAGGAAGCGACACTGACAGCACGCCTTTTTTAAAGCTGTTCTGCGCAAACTTTATTTTAAGCAGAAGTAGTATAGGTGCTGATGATTTGGAGGTAAATGCAATATTTTGGCAGAAGAATTACAAGCATCCATATCAAACATGTTTGAGTCCTCAGCCTATTATTAAGTTTCAATAGCTGTATGACTAGTAGTAATGGCAAAATATGCTTTTTATGGTTCCTTTAAAGTAGTTGTAAACCTTAGTCATGAAATGTGTACAAAGCAGGTATATCTGTATTGTTTATTTGTCTCTCTCCAAAACTCTATGTAGTTAATCTCTGGTGCTCCATTCCTCTGTTATCAGCACGAGTCACTTCTGACAAGTTTGGAGGAGAGCTCAGCACACAGCTTAGCTACTCAACACCGTTCTGCTGTGTGTAAAGGGTGTGTTCCTTTCCTCCAGTGGGCTCTCACAGTGTTCTAACTGCAGCTCCCTGCCCCCTCCTCTGTGATACTGACAAACGCAGAATGATTTTATCTAAAATCAGCACTTTTAAAGGGATATAGAAAAGAGGACTGCGGATAAACAAGTAAATGTTATGTAGGAGGATATGTTTCAGCTCTGCATTATCTGAGGCTGTTCACTTATGAGAGGGGTTTACAACCATTTTAATAAATATGCCTTGTAAGTTGATTAAAGACAAAAAATGCACGCTTAAAGGTTACAGGAGATCGGTGCAATCCATTTATAAAAAAAAAAAACAAAAACAAAAAGAGCAGGGAGTGGAAGATTTGCTGTCATTCTGCCAATAATTGTGTTAACTGTCGGTAGCGCTGCTGACTTGCACAGTTTACACAATGGAGATTTACTAGAACTGGAGCATACAAAATCTGGTGCAACTCTGCATAGAAACCAATGAACTTACAGGGTTTTTTTTTTTTTTCTTTTTTTTCAAAGCTTATTTGAACAAGCTGAAGTTAAAAGCTGATGGGCTACCATGCCTAGCTTCACCAGATTCTGAGTGCTCCAACTTAAGTAAATCTCACCCCAATGTCTGTTGCTTCCAGTGCGCTTTCCTGTTTGACAGGGGTAGGTGCCTTGAGACACTTATAAGAGGTTGCCAGACCAGTCACATGCGTGGTTATTGCGTTGCAGAGGCAACTGTAAAGGAGCATAATCTATGTACACTGCCAACCTGGCAAGAAAGCTTGTAATTTAATTCCTTTTGAAATCCTAATACCCCCATCTCACACAGTGATTTGTGTTCCTTTTAGTATAAAAAAAAAAATGCTAGTTCCCAGAAACCTGTGGGGTTTTTTTTTTTTTTTTTGTTATAAAAGCTGTAGTTATGATGGCATTGTTTTCCCTATTCTAGATATCATGACAGCCAGTACTCAGACCATGACTGGCCTATCCATAATCATTTTGAAGCTGATGAAGTTCAGCGTGATCCAAGGGCTCTTTCGGATGGAAGTGATGAGGAAGAGGTTCAGGTGGATCCTCGCAAATATCTGGATGGAGAACGAGAAAAATATCTAGAAGATCCTGCTTTTGATCCATATTTCTCTGCTGAGCCTTCTTGGCCGCATTCAAATCACCATGAGAATAAATATTGTGATCTTGAGTGCAGCCATACCTGTAACTTCAAAATGAGGTCCTCATCTTACCTAGATAACTTGGTGTGGAGGGAGAGTGAGGTAAACCATTATTATGAGCCAAAACTTATTATCGATCTTTCCAACTGGAAGGAGCAAAATAAGGAGAAGCTAGATAAGAAGGGGAAATCAAAATGTGAAAAAAATGGTTTAGTGAAGGCTCAGATAGCCCTTGAAGAAGCATCACAGCAGCTAGTTGAAAAAGAAAGGGAAAAAACGAAAAGAGTTTGACTTTGATTCATTCATAGCAGGTACCATTCAGCTTAGTATGCAAGATGATTCTTCCAGTGTTGACAAGCTCAATGACTTGAATAGCTCTGTAACACAACTTGAATATAAGTCCTTAATATCAAAGTCTGTAAGCCTGGAAAAGCAAGAGAAAGGCATGGTCAACCTTGCACAATTGGGTGCTCGAAACCAAAATTCTTGGGACAGTCCAATCCTAACTGGTGAAGACTGCTTCCTAAAAGATCAGTTTTGTGGTGAAGTGAGGAAGGATGATCACAATCAGAAGGAAAATACTTACACAGGTTACCTAGATAACTTGTTTAGTAGAAAGGAAGAGCCAGAAGTGTCAGACCCTGAGCCAGCAGAAGAAGGAAAAGATAGCAGCAAGGAAAATGAGGAAGGCTTACCAAATTTTAGTGGCGACATCATCTTTAGTAAGCAGCTGGATTGCATAGGGATTCCCCAGTTTCATAATCCTGTTGGCTCACCCCTCAAATCAGTACAAGCCACACTGACGCCTTCTGCAATGAAATCCTCTCCTCAGATCCCCCACAAAGCCTACAGCAGCATTCTAAAACATTTAAACTAAAACACTCTTCTTGATTTTCAGTTTTCTTTTTTTGTATTCTTCATTCGTTGTCATGAGTGTTCTTTTCTTTACATTTTTTTTCTTACTTGAATTGTATTTTAGTATGTATTTAAATTTTAGTTTTGTTTACCATTGTTTTTACAATTTCAAACTACTTTCTACATATTAATTTTAAACTGGCATGACATTTGCACACAAGGATTAAAAAAAAAAAAGATAATGCAATGTAGGTGGAGACAGGAAATATGCACTAACTGAAGAAAAACCTAAATATCGGTTGCTACGTTTCTAAATATTATCTTGCCTTGATGTTAACACAGTGAGACATTACTTGCCTTCATGGAGATGTCAGTTTTATATTGTTTTTCTAAGCTAGGTCATCATGTTTTTAGCTTTTTTTTTTTTTCATATCCATTTCTTGAAACACATGATACCAGCAGCAACTGAAGAATGCCAGATTTTGGTACGCATGTGTTATCTACCTCAAGGTAACAACAGTTTGTGGCTGTATATTTGCCACCGATAGTGCTATCCATCACGCACCTCTTTTAAGCCAGCATTATTGTAGTAGCTATTCTTGAAATGAGAAAAATACAGAAATATTTATAAATGTTCTTGACTGCATCCTATGTAATGAAGTGTTTTTAATATGCAGTATTTTTATTTATTAAATTCACAACGCGTGTTGAAAATCGGCGCCTCAGAAACGGCTTAGATTGGTAAATGGACATCTTGGCATCTAGCTGTCAAAATACAAGCATGCCATACTATTCGGGCACGGGTTGAAGAATTACAAATAAGTAAGGCATTGTGAAGAGCAGTAATGATTTGCAGTACTTAACAGTAAGCAATCAGGTTTTAGCTTCCTATAGTCATATCAATAGAATATTCTAAATGGATTGCTATGAAATGCCACCCTGTGCTTGTTGCTCTCTTATTAAACAAGCCCTTTGGAATATGGCAGCTAGACTGTTAAACGTTGTCCAGATCTAGTGGAGAAATTTAATTTATAGTTTACATTGTACAGTTAGCCTGCATATTAACAGGTCGTTGTGTTCTCGCTTCATTCTTTTTCCCACTCTTCTTTCATTTCAAGGAAAGTGCTCACTGTGTATAGGAATTTGTATTTTCAAAGTGCTTGACTGATCTCTACAAAACATAGGAACGTCGTTAAATACTCCTAGAAACCTTTTTTTTTATTTTTTTTATTGCAATGTTAAGAAAGGCGTGCATGGAATTATGGTACAACATTACTGTAAGTTAAGAATTGATGTAAGATTTTTTTTTTTTTTTTTTTGGCTTTTACTGTATGTTTTTACTGAAAATTCTTTTTTTATTTTCTTTGTTTTGTTTTCAAACCTGCATGAGAAGAATAGCATGTAGTATCTCAATTCTCTGGAAACTTGTTTTGCCTCTGAATTTTGCATACTATTTATGTACTATTGTTTCCCCTATTTAAGAATAATAAAACATGGCCAGCAAAAAATGTGATTTTGTGTCTTGGTAATTCTGCACTTTTTATTAAGGGACATTTTCTTAAAGTGGAACCGAAGTCTTTTTATAACAAACAGCAAGCAGCAGAAGATAAATGCAATGACAAAAACCTGCCTGCCTGTTTGCAGTCTTCTGCAGGATGTAAACGGAGCTTTGCATGTTCTTGTGTACCAGGATGACTGACTCCTGCACATGTGCAAGTTACGCCATCCTGTCTCGGCCAGTGGAGATGCCAAAAAACTGTCACTGGGGAGAAGAGGACCATGGACTGGAGTTGAGTATGTGTCTTTTAGTTCTGTTTTTACAGAACAAGGTTTGTAAATATCAGAGTTGCACTTCAGTTTGTGTGTACTACATGAAGACTACAGTAGATGTTGCAGACACTATTCATGCATTTTCAAGCTTTTATTTTTGATTAAAGTATATATTTAACCATCTAGTTTCTTCCTTTTATTGAAAGGATACAGTGGAGCTCTTGAATTTCTGACCATTTGGGCTTTACTGCCACCTTCAGGAGTAGGACACTAGTAACAAATACAGAGGCACAGCCTAGGGGTGGCCACTGAATGTAGCCATATCCCCAGCTGCTAGAGGCAGCATTTATTTTTTTTATTTTTTTTTGCCTAATGACAAGAAATGAAAGGACCCAAGATTCCTGCTCAGAACTGTTGGGGAATCTTTGTTTTCTTTCTTTTTGCAAGAAATTCTTATTTTTTTTCTTTAGTTTTCAAGGCCTTCAATTGCTGAGTTGGATGTTAAGCTTGATCATCCCTGTTGTACATCAGTTTGCTTGTATCTTTCATGGTCAGCTTAGTTTGCTATACCCCCCTGCCCATGAGTGCTGGCCTTCTGCACTGGCCTTCTGGAATGCAGTGCATTGGAATTTACATGACTAACTTCCCTCAAGTTTTGAAAATTAACCTGCCCCCCCTGCTAGCCAGAAGAGGGCAAGAAGAAATGCTGTGAGCTGGTGCCTCTGTCCTCTAAGGAACCTTTTTCTGATCTTGCACATGGATGAAGTGGTGCTGAGGCCAGAGCCTTCATCTTTTCTGATGTGGTTTTGGTCTCCTCAACCTGGATATTTGCCTATCTTTCTGTCTAGCTCCAGTGTACCCGGTTACTTTCTCTTCACTGTCTAGATGTAGTCTGTGCTGTGCTCGATTACTTTGCAGCCACTACTTCTGTTTAAATCTCTGGGTGCCCTAGAAGGGGCCTAGCCATATATACTGTAGGATATTTTTTTTTTTTGTTCTTGCCATATAATCCATTTCCCTGCATTCCTTGAAGGACACAATACCCACCCTGCCGGTTATGTCTTTTGACCAGTGTTGCTTTGTAACTAACCAAGCTGCTTCTGTCATATGGGGGGGTACTCTAGGCTGTGCTTTTTGTTTTATGTCTACTGTCCTGCTCCTGACAGTGGCATGGTAATCCAATGGTCAGAATCAAGACTGCTGCTTTGCCTTTTGCGGAAGAAAAAAGTTTTTTTGTTTCTTTTATGTCTATGACCTGTTGGCTAGATTTTTCACTTCTTGCCTTAAAGCACAACCCCAAGAGAGATGAGTTCTGTAAAGACAGGATGTCCCTTGTGGAAGGTTTCCTCTGTTTTGTTAATACAAATTTTGGAGTTGTCACTAATCATCCTTCCTGACACTTCTTAAATCCCTCCAAATGGAACATACACCATTAAACACATGACAAAGGTTCTAACCCTTCCTTACTGTTCAAAATGGAGAAAAAAAAAAAGTTGGCCTTAGAAATGCTTTCAATTTCTTAATGTGGAGGGAGCATGTGCATTTCCACATTACCATGCCAAGCATTACATTACTAAACCCAGCCAAGGTAGGGACCCTATAGTGATGCTACCCCACCACTCCAGCTCCTACACTACTCTCATTGCTCAGCAAGCTATTCCACTGCCCAGTGATCCTCCTTCCCAGGCAAAGGGCTTAAAAAAAATGATCTCATGTCCAACCCACGGGAATTACTGATGGTTGGTATTCTAAACAATCTCATGCTGGTGTTTTCAATCTGTTACCAATATGCGTTAAAGCTATACTTTTTTTTTATGGTATTGTGTGTTGGGATATTGGTGGTATATTTAGAGTCCCATATAGGATTTATTTTTTGAGTAAGGTCTGCATAGAAAATTGTCTTGGGACAGACCTGCATTTGCAAAAGTATTAGATATTTACTAAAATGAGCCAAAATCAAGTTTGAAATGATTAGGCTTTCCCTGCCAATTATTTCTTAAAAGCAGCTAAACCATGGATTAAAAACTCTTTTTTACTTAGCCACATTGTGTATATATTGTAAGCAACAGATTGAAATTAGAGTTGTCTCTCTGATTTAATATGCTCTAAATAAACACAATGCCTTCAGTTTGTGTATCATTTAAGATGCAAGCTGTTAAGTTCTGATAGATGCTCATTTCTGAAAGCCGAAATATATTCAAACAATAAAATCACATATATGATGTAGGTTGCCCATACGGGTAAGATTGGTCTTTCTGTTTTACTAAGTACTCACTTAATCATTTTGCATATACCTGTTGATCTTGCCAGTATAACCATTAGATAGGCACTTCCTTTTGATAGGGTGACTTGCTCTTCCCTCTGCAGTTTAGATGCTGGTACCATTTAGTCCAATCATTGAACAGAAATGCCTAACTCTGCCCACATCGCTACATTAACAGCATATTGCTCTAACTTCAGGAATTTAGGGAAAGGATGTGTAAATCATGTTCGGTCTCCCCACCCTCTCCACCACAGTCAATTAGAGACTAAAAGAATACTATGGAGAGGTAACATTCATTTCTTTTAAGACTTATAGCATACCAGTTTGCATTGGAAATGCCCATTTTAAATAGTAATTTCAGGCTACTTGTAAAATCAAACTTCTGATGCTGGCAAAGTAATAATGAAAATGTGCAAAAATGGCAAAGTTAATGTAGCCAGACTGGGATAACTGTCCAAGGAAAGTCATAGGTGCATGGAACCTGCAGACCAAAAATCCATGGAGTCTTAATGAATCCAGTTGTAGGAATCCAATTATGAGAAGGGGTTGGAACAATCTAGGTACCAGGGTAGGCTGTGGTAGAGTGAAGCAGAATCTAATATAAAACAAGGGGAGAAACTGCGCCTCTAACTGTACATTGTAGTGCAAGTGTAATAGTTAAAAAGTAGGTAGGCAACTCCCATATGAGTGATAAAATACAGGCTCATCAATGATGTGGATGAGAGAAGTCAGGATCAAACAGCCTTTTTATACAATGCAGAGGATTAACCCCTTAGGTTGCACAGTGAGTATAACAAGCATGCTTTACAGCATATACAGACTGATTTTACTGTTGTGGGTTTAGTAACACTTTTTAATGTGTTTTTGGTATCTACCTGATACTATATTTTAAAATTGATTTATTTATTATAGGTACTTTATATAGCACTGTCAATTTACACAGCACTTTACATATATATTGTACATTCACATCAGTCCCTAACCCTCAA